TCTACTTCACCGGAGAGCGCTTTATTTAAAGTCAAGAGTCTTAATGTCGTCCTATTTTAGACACACATACTGCTTTGTTTGGTAGAATTTTTTCTGAAACCTTGTACTATTTAAGCCCAGTTACTTTGACTCCAATTTTCAAATTGGCATCGAAAATCATCGTGAATCAAATTTTAGTTGCCCTAAGTTTTCTTTGTATGAGAATAGATTCAGATCGGCAGAGATAAAATACATTGTTGATGACCTTATGGAGGGTTTCGTTTGTTATGCAAAGAAATCAAATTACCGCTCTTGATTCTCAGAAATGTCAGGGCGTGCTATACCAATTTATTACCATTTTTAAGACCTCAGATGCCCGGTTCAATTGCTTATCGAATATGAAATCATAAAATCATATCGATGTTAAGTTCTGTGCTCAAAAACTGGCTCTTTTAATCCTAGGAAACGTTATCAAAAAATGATAAAGCTACTTGCAAACGTACATGTAACACTTCTCATTTCGCCTTAAAAGCAACGACCACACATGCAATCATCGCCATATTCTTCCCTTTTTTCGAAGTTCCTATATGATCATAGTACCAAAAAAAAAAAACACTCTGACAAAAGTCAGGAGATTACCCAAGCGCCTCTAAATTTCAAAGAAAGATACGTAAACGGCTTTCCGTGCCAGCATTAAAAAATAATTCAGTGGCTAGTTGCTAATGAAATTCGTCTCGTTGTCTTTTTAAGAATGTACGATTTACCAGCCTGGGTTTATCGTCATTTCCCCCGATTTCGGTTAGTCAAACAAACAAAATAGTCTTTCAAATTAAAGAAAAAAATAAATCAAAGGAAAAAGTTGAGAACTTACCAATGTCGTTTAGCTTTTGGCGAGATCGTAATAAAGTTCGCTGTTGAAGATAATGCTTAGCTACGTCGTGAATTGCTTTTTCAACATGGGGTTTTTCCCCTCAGTGGCGATATCTTGATGCCGGAGTAGAGGTTTCCAAAAGGATAAAAAAGAAAAGATATTTTAAGTGTTATTTGCCCACTTTACGAATCATCAATTAGAAGAGAATTTTACCTTATGTTGCAAAGTCTAGGCCCATAAGCCGCCACATGCAAAATTGCCATGTAAGTAACCATTAACTGTCCAGGTATAAATAAGGTCTTAAATCGATTTCCTGTTGACACAAAAGAACGGTTTTAAACTTCATTTGCGTCAGTGAGGCAGATTATGCAAGATGACACGTTTAACAAAGGCAGAAAAGTGCGATCTTATCAGGAAGAACTAGTTTACATTCACATTTGCAATATTATTTCCTCAGAGGGAATTCCAGATAGCAGTAGATTATAATTTTCCTTAGCATCTTATGAGTAAGGAAGGTTTGTGCCATAAAAAAGTTATTTGTTGGTAGTTAGGTTTTCATCGCGAAATCATATCGTTGTTATAAGAACAATCTGGATTTTAAACTCACAGGCTCTGAATCTGCTTCCCGGAATGATAATCGATCTACATACCACAGTCAATGTAAAAGACCTATAAAACAAGGTGCTAAAATAAAAACTTGGTGATTAATTTTTTTAAAAATTTTTTTTTAACATATCATGGTATGTAATTTATGACATGAAAATAAGGTTTTGACGAAAAGTCATTACAAATGCACACGTGAAAGAAATAATACATCAAAAACCAGGATAAATAGGTCTAACATAAAGGTGTCTTTGTGTGTCGATTCAGTTTCACAAGGCTATGATGATGTTCCGTTCAATTAGATTTTAAGTTCATTCCTAATTCTGTTGATTTGAAGAATTTTTTTTCAGGCTTTAAAATTTTCGTGAAGGTTTCCTCTGATAAAGCGTCCAGCATTAAAAAAGCAATATAAATCCAGACGTTGTTTTTCATTGCTGTTACCAACTAATTCACCTTCACTTTCCAAAATAGTTCACTTTGTTTGTTACCTAGAAACATAATAACATCGAAAGAATTATTATCTTTTCCTGGCCCCGGAAAAAAAAATCACAGGAAGAAATGGAATATATTTTTCCAAGGGCGATAAATACTTTCTCATTTATGTGAAAATCCTTACACATTTTGATTTACTCGGGAAGTCGTGGTTTTATCGTCTTCAACGCTCCACACTTTTCGCCACCCTCTTATCCTTTCTCTTCTAAAGGAAAATTTCTTTCCCAGTTGCCTTCTGCATGCTCTTTTTTTTACGTCGTCTTCAAGGTCTTTCAGCTTCTTAATGTTAGGTTTACATGCAATGTCTCGTAGATTTCTAACACAATTTTGAGCTAAGGTGTCTGGCACTGGGCTCCGCGCTAATATCAAGGTGCCCCTAACGATCGTTAATAGTCTTTTACCAGTTTGTTCTCGTTAATGACTGCAGTTCAAGTGTTTTATCCGTTATCACAATCACATTGAAAAACAGAATCTAATATCAAATACATATTAATCAGCCTGGTCAAATAACAAACAACTGCGAGGTGATCAATACATCAGATTTCTCTGGAAAATTGCAAACTCTGCGTAAACGGTGCCATGAAAGCTTTGATAACTTCGAGCGAAGGTGAATCCAAACACAATGCAATACAATAGAAGTACATATAGGCCTACTTAACCACTTTTTCAGGATAGTTCTTGATACGGAAATAACAACCTATTAGTGCCCAGGTCATTCGCATCATTTCCTTCTCCCAGATCCTGAAATAGCGACATCAAAAGATGACAGCAAATACAGACAAATGGACAGCTTCTAGAGTGAAGCTTTGTTTTTTCCAAAGCTGTGATACTGTACGTGGAACATGTGGAGATTATTAACTTGATCAAGTGATCACGGCGCAAGTTTTCGTTAAAGACAAACAGGCATGTTACAGATTATAAAAACAATATTTTGAGATACAGTATCAGGGTATTTCTCTGGCTTGGCCAATCGATTTGTCTATTCTATTTTAGTGTTTCAAATTCTAATGAAAAACTCCTACTTTTAGTGTTCAGCCGGGCAAACGAAACAAAACTTATTTTTAGACCCATGCCAATAAAATGGGTGAGAAGATCATTTTAGAGGCTAAAATAGCAATTTCGGAGTAGTTTCTGTGATACTATAACACAGTCACGACACCTGACTGTCGACCAAAAACATCGACATAATTTTATAGATTCATAAATCCACTGAGAGGGAGGAAACATTACGATAATTTATCAATCTATCCACGTTTACATATCCGTGTATGCATGGATAAGGAAGTTGTCTGATTTGCGGTGAATTACTGATCGGTAATTCCTTAGTCTTAGAGCGGTATTAATCGTGCATGTAATAAATGCAGGATGAAAATCTGGAACTTGACCTCAGCGAAATAGGGGTGAATTCAAGCATAAAACAACAGTTTCTGAGCTTTTTGGAGATCCACTTTATTAGACTAGCTCCCCGGCTATTGCCACACTCGATCCTTCAGACACAGTTTTTCTTCGCTATGCCGACCGACTTAGGCCGGTAAATGAGTTCCAGGTTTTTCCTGCGGCAAGTTGAACTATTCAAACATCATGTCTCATCGAATCGGACTATTCGTCGTTTTATAACCTTCCTTTTTTTAATTTTTGTAGCGCCAATTTTAGCGATACCGTACACAAAACATAAATCAAAAATTTAATTCGCTTTTTACTACTCAATTCTGTTTGCATTCGGTTTACTAGTTAAGTTATTCAACTTAGTTTTGTTAGGGCAAATTAATTTCTTAATGAATTTTGTGATGGCTATGGGAATCGGTTTACATAACAGTTACTATGTGCCGTTAGAAACCGACGGCAATTTTGTAAGTTTTCTCAAGGACTTATTCGAAGAGAAAACGTTCAAACATGTATTTACTTTCACTTTATCAATGTCGTCTTCAGTGCTCATATTTCCTGAAATAATTTGGTTGTACTACATAATGCTTTTCGCAAGTCTCCATGTCGCGAGTCAGTTGCTCTTAGTTCAGTCCATTTATTAGTGGACACCAAAAAAGTAAGTGAGTGAAATCCGCATCTCGAGTTAATTCTAGAAACGATATATTAGAACAATCCTACCGAAATCTATCTGTACGGAAAGTAAAATTACGCGCTATTACAGCGCCGATCTACAAACACTCAAAACGCTGTCAGCTTTAAGAAAAGAAGGCATCTGAGGTTACTTACAGCTTTCTTCCTTGTCATCTCAAAATGCAAGTTGAGGTCAACTTCGGTTGATCAATCGTTAAAGGAAGAGCGAAAAATGAAGAAGATTGATAATTCACACAAATTCATCAGCAAACGCTTCGAAAGTCAAAACTACCGGATACTTTAACTAAAGCGCTTATCATAAAAAGCTGAACTGATTACCGGCTGCAATCAGCCAATCAAAGTCTTCAACCCTATGTTAGGATTTGTGCCCAATGCATGAATGTTTTTATGCTAACTGTGTGTTATTGTTGCCGTCACTTGATGTAAAGTTTACAACTTTTTGTGAGCTGATAGTAGCCACCTAGTGAATAAAATTAATTAAAGAGCGTATATTTTAACGATTCGAAATGGACTCAGCCCGCCTACACCATGCCAGATAGATTTGAAAATCGAGTCTGCTCCCTAAAATCGCAACTCAAGGTTTCCGTGAAATCTTAAAAGTGGTTAACATGTTTGAGAACGCAGCAATCAATGGCGAGAAATAAGTCTGACTGCATACTTGGACAAACGTATAGTATGAGTATTCGCAGTCATAGTGTGGACGGTAGGCTAACCTGTGGAAATAATTTGGGGTTTCAGGTTTTTTTAAATTAGTGTCTGAGGGGCGTTAGAGAGGAAAAGTTTGCTTGAAAACCGGCAGGACAAACTGCAGTTTCCGATACTAAGTGATTATAAGATAATGGGGAAAAGCAAAGGTCTAGATCCGATCCGCTGAAGTATTGCATACATTTTCCTCTCTGATCACTTGGAAGCCAGCATCAACTCATTTATCTTTGATACAGAGACCATTTGAAAATAATATGTTAATATATTTCTGAATAAAACAATCTGACTCATGAAGTACATAGATATTTTGATAGCTGTTTGAATTACAAAACTAATTACGTTGCACGGTATGACTTACTTTAATTGCAGTAAGTTATGTTCTGTTATAGCGATATGAAAAGTAGCGTTTCTATTATTTTATCTATTTCAAAATTAAAAGTGATATAAGTAGTCTGATTGGAGCTCAGTGTAACACCAATTAGTTTTCTCTAAATCGGTTCTTTTTCCTTACCAGTGTGGATCCAATATGCCAATCGAATCGCAGGAAAATGAAAATCGTTAAAGCTGAATTGCGGAGAATTTCCTTGATTTTTCGTCGGAACGTCGAATTTTCTTTACTAAAAATGGACGAATTTATTCACATCAATTTTTGAAAAATGGATGTAATTAAGTGGCAATTAAACTTGGTGTCATGCAGGTTTGGTTTGCAATCATGTATCAGTGAGCTCCACTCAGTACAAGTGCTATTGTATATTGTGGGACAGGTGTTCTATGTCACAATTAACATGGATCATGTCCAATTTTAATCAGGAGAGTTTAGCGCATCGCATTTTAGAGTTGAGCAGCAGGATCTGGCATTTTTTCGCTTTTACTTTCTGTTATTTTTAATTGTACATCTTGCATATTATCTTGGATTGTCAGTTTTTTATTTAAATGAATGTTCTTCCATAGGAGCGGCTTTACTAAGGTCTGGTAGAGACTTCAGAAAGCCTTCACGTCCGTTTAAGAAAAACGTCAGCAATGTTCCCTTTCCCTGTAAAAAAAAGCATGTCTATAGTCAAGTATTAAACTATAATGAAGGGTACTCCAAACAATATATAATTCATGTCGACCGTTAAAAAGTGTACATGCAGTTAACCTAACCTTATATAATTTGATTTTCAATGTGGTAAAAATTTGCAAAGCAAGATACCGAAGTAGCTGACGTTTAAAGTGGCGCTAATGGTTATAAAGAGAACCTTCATCGGCGTCCAGCCTCTTTCCTCAATGTGATAACCACCGATATTATCCAGTAAGGACTTGCATTGAGAACTGACATGAATCCTGAGGGCTAAAAGATTGGAAAACAATGGTATATTTTAGTCTTACTCGAATGAAATACAATTTTCACGTATCAAATTTAAATGAAATCAATATGTCTGATTGCACCTGTGAATCAGGGCCCAGTTGTTCGAAGGCCGACCAGCGCTAACTCGGGGTTTAATCCAATAAGAATCCAATCATCAGGTTTTAGAAGTAAAAAAATATTCTGGATTTTCTTTTAAAGCTTTCCCATCAGATCTCACATTAACCCTGGGTTACCTTAACCCAGCTTTGAACAAACCGGCCAAGAAAATTCTCTTGTTGAGTATAAAGTTACCAAGGAGAATTTACCCACGTGACACCTAGAATGGGAAGCAAACTTGAGTCACAGAAGCGAACTCTTTCTCTCCGTTTCCCCATACTACCCCACTCTCAGCACCGGAGTCTTTTAGTCACACGATTTTCATTTCAAACATTACCACTGGACCTCTAGTTTTTCAATGGATTCGGGAATTAAAAGACAAAAAATGTGTACTTGTATATTGGCCAACCCTCCATGTGAAAGTGGCTGTCGCATAATGCTGTCAGATTGATTTTGACTGCTCCGTTCGTGGTTTTCGTAGTTTGTGCCAGTAGTGTGATGTCATATATCATACTTACCAAGCCCGCTAGATTCCATTCGGGACGCTGTGTTGACAGTATCACCAAACAGGCAGTAACGTGGCATCTTAAGTCCAACGACACCAGCAACACATGAGCCTGAACAGTAGGGGATGAAATCACTAAAATATTTATTGTAGGCGTTTGTTAGACGGGTCATAAAAACTAATTTGGTGAGGCCTTGCTGTTTTAGCAATCGTGATAAGAATGCCAGACAGCAAATTAGGCCCTCTTGCATAAAAGGGAAACATAAAATTGAAGATTCCTTGACAAAGATTATTTTTCTTGCGAAGATTGAGAAAGTTTTAATAGTAATATCATCATGTACGCGGAAGAAAAAAGGTTTGGAGGAAACATATTTACCCCAGAGATATCTTACCAGAATGAATTCCAATTCGAAGTTGGAGCTGTTTCTCCGGAAGGTGTTTGATTTTAAAGTGACACATGTCACTCAAAAGATCAAGGGACATGTTGGCGATTTCTCCAGCATGACAAATGCCATTGGGCTTGGGTAGTCCAGATACAACCATGTAAGAATCTCCAATTGTCTCAACCTTCGATGAACAAAAGTGAAGAATTTTAAAAGATCGTACACAAAGGAAAAATGATATGAAACGGACAGATCGACACCACCTAAGGCTGTTACTCCTGTCAGCGATAAGAATAGCACCGAACACCTCAAGAAGAAAAACCACAAAAATTTAACAAAAACTAACACAACATCAATGACAACCTAGGCAAAGCCTTCAGAAAGACAATCAACAACTACAACGGAAAAGGTTACTGCAACGTCATGAAAGAAATCATTTCTTTTTCAGTAGGGGTAATTTTCTTACCTTATAAACATCATGACAATCAATAATATTGTCAAAGCACGTGTAAAGATCATTCAACAGGTTAACAATCTGTGAAAAAAATGTTAGTTCAAACATGTGGCCGGAATCAGAAAATATGTTTTAAATGAATGTAAACTTCCGATCAATCCCTAAAGAACGTGAAACGCTTTTGTATATTCGAAGACTGTCTGCTTCAATACTTGATAGATAATTGTCGTCATAATCAGTGTCATCAGGGGGGATGTGGTTTGAACAAGCCGTAAAAAATTAAAGATAATAAAAACCCCGCTACAGCTTAAGATAGTAGCTTCCTCACAACGAATAATCTTTTGTTTTTTGTTTTCTTGCATTTTGACTTAATGAATGATCGATAGAAAGTTTCTGTTAGTCAATTAGTTCAGAATGAATGTAGCAAGTTGTCAGGTTGAAAAAAATCAGCTGTCTTTCATAAAGAGTGAGCACCATCAGTTTCGTTTTCATAGAAAAACTTCCTGTAACCAAATCGACTTGTTAAAAGACGTTTCGTCGTCTTGCTACACAATTCTTTTATTTGAGCAGATTGACACAAAAAAGAAAACATTCTCTCACCTCCAGCGGCTTGCTCTGGGCAGCTAAAGTAGTGAAACCCACTATGTCACTAAAGAAGATTGTAACCTGGTCAAACGATTCTGCTGCAACAGCTTCACCACGTTTTAACTGCTCTGCCACCGTCCTATTAAAAAAGGCAGCAAAGCCGTATAATTAAAGTCATTGCATTGTGTACGTCTCTCATCAAATGTGAATATCAATCTTTCATTCCCCCTTCTTTTTCTATACAATTAGCAACGAGTTAGAGAAATTGAAAAACCCTGTTCGGATAGCATCATGAAACTTTACGATAGCTCTGAATCCTCTGTTATTACTTTGGTAGCATCCTGTATAACAGGGCGTCTGTCTTTTGTTTCTCTTCCTCCAGTTGTTCTGTTCTCTCTCTTACGACCTCTTCCAGATGGTCTGTGTATTTTTCCATCAGTGATATCATGTTGTCCATAATGTTGATGTCCCTTTCAAATAAAATCAATGGAAGGATCAGAAAAATGAAAAAAAAAAAAAAAAAAAAAAAAAAAAAAAAGATTCGAAATAAAGTTTCAGTTTCTGTCAATTCATACGTCAAAGGAACCGAAAAGTAGAAATCAAATAATTTTAGCTTCTGCGAGCTGGTACAAGTCTTTCGTACTTCATCCTCGGTGCAACAAATATGATCACATTATCAGGGCTTATAAAGAACATCAGAAGAAGGACAGAATGTTTTGGTTCGTGTGCTTTTTTCCCAATTTCATGGTGGTAACATCTAAGGGAATAATAATCGACCATTAAAACACTTTTACAAGTCAACTCAGGACAGGGACCAGTTTTTCAAAGGTCGGATAACGCTATCCAATGGATAAATTACTATCCAGCGGATAGCTTTAATCAAAACGTGCTGAGTTCGTCACTGGATAGAGATTTATCCAGTTGAAAGCGTTATTCAATCTTCGCAAAGCCGAGAACAGTTGTGTTGGATTATCAAGGCTAAACGATATTGTCAAAATACGTCTCATAATGAAGTGCTCAAGGACAAAATAAGCTATTCACAGTTATAAATGCTAAAGGCATGGTCTCAAACGGAATTATGATATTTTGGTCGTTATTCGTTAGCTGTGAGATCTTACTTTCCATTGTTAATTTTCTTTATCGTTTGAAGAACATCACTGAACCTTGGTCGTAAGGTTGGCTCATCACTCCAACAGGATCGCATCATTCTCACGTACAGTCCATTTCCAAAGCTGCTTGGAATGACTGGACGGAAAGGAGGGTTCTCTCTTTTCTGTACCATGCTGACAATTGCTGTTAGAATGACAGCAATTGAAAATTATAAAAACAATTGATAATGAAGAAAACTTTCTCTACTGGAGAAAGAAACCCTTACAAATTATTTTCTGCTTCACTAAAGTATATTCTGCATTTATAGTGGATCATCCTTTTACACTTAGGGTCATAAATGTTGTTAGGGATGTGGGGGTCCTGTAGGCTGGGCGGCCGCAGCTTTCACTCCAAGTTGAAAACAAAAGGTTACACCTTCTGTGGAAAAATGCGATAGATCTCCATCAAGTTTCCTCCTTGAGCATCTGTACTAGTACCTCTTCGCTGAAAACTCACTAGGACTGTTTTTTTTGGTTATTTATTTCGCATCCTCGGCGAACTGAACTACCCTACAACGTCTAAATTAAGTATTTAGAGGTCAAAGCAAAACATCAGAAGCTTACTTTTTGCTTCCATGAAGTCATTCATGGCATACGGCAGACTTCTAAGAAGAATCTCCTGCAGAATAATGCCGTAGCTATAGACATCTCCCCTTTGTGACTTAGACAAATTATTCCTGCCATCGAGGTGTTCCGGTGCTCGCCACAAAAGATCTGAAGCGTTTAAAAAAGAAGGTGAATATGAATTGTTATGTGATTGTACCTTTTTCTTGTTTTGACATACTCGCATGAGAGAGCCTAGTTAGGATGACGCTTTCACACCATTCGATTCTACATTATTCTTACCTTGCTGAAAAGTAAAATTTATGGTAAGGGTATAAAACAAGCTCCATTCATTATTATGGTTGCAAAATAAAAGAGCTGTCCCCAGGACTTTTCGACTGTCATTCTTTCTTTCGCTTAACTTATAAACCCAATTTTAGCTGGCTCCAAAATGAGACTTCATCGCTCATCTATGACCGTGAAGCATCGTGCAGGTGTCGCGGCTCTTATCGTGGATCCAAATTCGTCCGTACGCCTGATTTAACGAGGTTTCTATCTCCAACTCTATTGAAAACTCCAAGATTAAGGCTTTCCTTTTCTTTTCTGCTTGCTAGTCGTTTATTTCGTTGGTATTTCGGACTACTCACTGTTATATTCCGCATCAAGGCCAAGATACGAGTCAACCTTCTGTCCTGATTTAAAATGTTCTAGTCCGACATCGGTTATTTTACAAACCCAACGGCTGTCTACGACACAGTTTGAAGATCGCAAGTCACCATGGTAAAGGATTGAGCTTTTTTGTAAGAAAAACATCCCCTGTTGGTAATGAGAGAGACATTGCACTTGTCCAAAATTTTATTGTACATAAGTGAACAACATAAAGATGGCTGTGTCATTAACAGAATCAAAAACGAAGGCCATAAAAGCAGCGCCTTTGAATCTCAATCCTGTAGACATGAGTTGTAAGAGAATATATCCTTTTTTGGCTTCCATACGAATTAAAGGAAGAAGGAGAAGTCCCAGGAGCTATCATTACCAAGAAAAAGATTTGTTTCTTGATTCCCTACAATTTTCTATGGGTTTACAACCCGCAGTGTTGCTTTGTTAAGAATTTTATTTTTCAATTTCTACATCACAAATAAGTATTCCAAAAGAACTTATGCCTTCATTCCGGTAAAAAAAAAATCTAAACAAGAGGCAGATTTTTCAGCGTCTTATTATTTCTCTTGTACTTGTTTTGTTTTGTTTTTTTTTGCTAGATTAAACGCACAAATATTTTGCCTGCTCTTACTCTTGCAATATCGGATGCAAAGGACATTTTAAACATCCAGTCAAGCTTCATCCTCTCATTATTCAAAACATCCTGAAAGAGAAATAGGTGAATGAAATGCTATATTTGTAGCAAATAAGGGTCTGTCGGGCCGATCCGAGAGTAGCTTACGAGATCGGGCTAATATGGTGGAGAGATTGCATGGAATGTTTTTCTGCCTGGCACCTTTGTGGACTCTGATCCTTGCACTACCAGTGCGCTACAAGATTTAACCTGTGATAAGCGAAAGGCCAAGCACTTTAATCGAGAAACGTGGTTATGCTACTTGTCTATGTTATTGCAACAAGATCCCTCATTTAACTGCATCTTCGGTCCATGCCAATTCTGGATTTTGTATCAGTGGTTTAAGTATATTATTGTCAGTCAGATTAGGGAAGCTTTTAGGATGCAATTCCCGAACAAAAAATAAAGAACAAACAACCAATCGACACCCAAGTAGATGGATAGCTATCTCTTTTCTAATGGTTAGCCTTTATGATTATCCTTACCACAAAACGTGGGTAGACAAGGGACCCTTTAATCATGCCTTTGTTTCACACTTTTACAATTTACCTGCAGACTTCCCTTGTTACAGTACTGTGTTAAAATCCATATATTTGGCGAATCCACACACGCTCCAATAAATCGATTGATATTTGGATGTTGAAGCTCGTACACCTATATAAGATATACACTACCGTGAAGAGGAATGATTGATCAAAATTTAGCTTGATTTCAACTTTAGTTTTTCTCTTATCGAGAAAATTAGATTTTTCTTAGAGATCTATGGCAAATGATATTGCAGAGGAAGAGATTTTACGTTAAAAATGACTATGAAATGGTCATTTGAAGGGAGCCTCTCTTCGATATTGCGAAATGGAATTAAGTAGTATACTATAGTTGTCATTCCACATAAGTGAATTGGTATTTTTTAGGTTCACAGTGTACTTTTCTCCTGATGGCGACCACTTTTGCGCGCAAAAATGGTTTTCGAAACTATCTAGATTTTACTGATCTCTCTACTTTGTTGAGGGCCTTCCACACTGAGTAGAAGCTTTTAATGCTTCTACTGAGTCACAACATGCAATTAACCCAAAATTTCGTCCGTTGTTTCAGTCTACGACGACAGCCGGTGTGGTGTTTTTGGTGGCTGCTTAAGGGAACTCCGTTCTGTACTTTAGATATTCGTGTTATATGGCAGATTACCTCTTTTAATTCCATGAGTATTGTCCTTGACAAGGTAATGTGCGTCTTTCTTAGCTTTTTAACTGCTACCACTGTAGACTACAGAATTAAAATGGACAAAAATCACTGAGATGGTAAATCCTTTTTTACTATCTCACCTGACAATATCTAGTGAAATTCACGCTTCTTGTGAAACTGATGATATACCCCAGGCGAACCATAGAAAGAAACAGAAATTCTAAAGGTTTCGTTGGTGGACACATGCCCACCTGCTGGCCGTTGTATTTAAATGAGTGCGTTTGTAATATGATTATGGTGTAACCATGAAGTTACTTTTATTTTTGGAAAACAATCATTTTATTCGAGTAGAGACAAATAGCTTTCATCTCATCATACTACCCGCTCACCTTTTCAATTGATGACATAATCCTCGAGACCTAGATAACAAACCTTAAAAATTGCCACGTTGGTAAATACTTGTCCTCTTATTTCATCCTCGTCTAAAGTTCTCGAATTCATACTGCTGTCACCAGAGCCAAAGCTAGATGTTGAAATCTGCCAAAGACATTACAACATTTATAATAGTGATACGTTATTTACCTTAGCTTTTCCACATGTTCTTTTCTAACTTTAGTAAAGCCCAGGTTAACGCACGCTCAAGAAATGGTGGTTACATAAGAGAATCTTACGCCTTTTCCTTTGAGCGAATTATTTTTGGGCGCACTTTTCGTTAGGAAACTGACGTTTATCATAGACAATCAGTGTAGGACAGTACACAAAACGTATAATTCCAAGCGCAATCTTGACCCTGTATTCTTCATCAGTCTTGGAAAGGTAGATCATGATATCATATACGAGGAAATAGATGCTTTATTAAAATAGTAGGTGGTAACCTTAGATGTTGGTTTGATAAAAGTATGTTTTGGGTTGTTTCTCACCATGCTTCTTCCATCCAGAGCTTTTCTTGTAAAGTTTACATCTGCCGCAGAAATTTTCCAACGTTGGCTCTGAAGTGACGACTCAAATGTCTTCCTCCTACAAATATTTGTAAGGTTAGTACCATGATAAAGCTAGACGCTCGACTGTCGGAAGAGGTACATTGACATGGTAAATAGTGCATGGTAGTATTGTATCAATTCAATAGCAGAAGTGACGGGTCCTTAAACACGAACGATTTTTTATGAGTAAAAAAAAGTATTTACAACTTGATTGTATGCAACGTTAAATAGCATGTCAATCATTTTGGTTTAGCAAACCAATGGAAATTTTCCATAAATATAGTAAGTCACAGTGTACAAGAAAAACGTCTAAGGGAGGCGCAGACTCTTGAGGCTCCCGGCTTTCCTAACCAATCACTTCTGTCAACCATGTATTTTGGAGAACAGTAGTCAGCCGATTGATTGGTGGTTAAGATCCCACGATCTTACTCTTTCCTCCGCTACGCGTTTTCAAATTTGTAGCTTTGATGAAGAGAAACATTTAGGCTTCTAGTAACTAAAGTCGAGCCTCTTGTGCTTGCTTGTGAAAGGAAAAAATAAAATTGAGCTCTCTTTCTTTACGAGGACCTTAGCAATTTACCGGTTAATTTACGGATCATTCAATTATATTGTAATATACTGCTTACTTGTAATAAAGCAGAAAAGCCACCATACAAATCATAACAGCCACGAAGCCTGAGATTGCATAAACAGCGATCATCCAAATAACTAACAAATGAAACGACAAGATGCTTATTGATTAGAAATAACGTAAAAGGTTGCGGACGGACTTAATTTACACATGTGTAAAATTTTCGCCGCACTCAGAGTTTCACAACAGAAAACGCTCAAAGATCCGTTTTCTTTCTACTTACAGTTAAAGATAAACGTAGAGATTTTAGCGCTTAGAGCGAGCGAAGTGAACACAACCATTAAGCCTTGGCTAGTAACGAGAAAGTTATGAGTTTTAATTTGCAGTTCAACTGATCTAATTTGAAATACGTTTTTGTCAAACGTTTTACCCATATTTAAGGAACATTTGTGGCCGAGGGGTAGCCGGAAATGCAGGCGTCTTATTAGGGCAAGATAATGTTATGAGCTTGCGATCTCGAGCGATCGTTTATCCGACTAGCCATATTTGATATGAAGTTAGAGTAGATGATGGGGTTAGGGGTCGGGGGAAGGGCAAGAAGGCGCCTGCCCGAAGAGGCTGTTGAAAAGCAAAACACCGCCTGATTAGTTGCGTGTCACTGCATTTCCGGAAATGAACGGGTAACTAATCAAAACGAGTGGAATTAAAAACCGGAAGCACTGTCTTCCGATTAAAACAAACACATGTAGAGCCGATAAGTGAAGTAGTTTTTTTCCAGTTAGGAAAGAAATGGCTTTGACAAAACCTCCTCAGCGATCACAACTACGAACTGATATTTGCTGCACTCCAAATTTTTCAAACGACAATCCTAGAGTATAGCTGCTGTTAATCTATTTGACCATTTGGGGCTGATTAGCTTACATTTTGCTACGTTGTGACAGCTAATTATTAATAACCTAGTTGATTAAGGCGAACTGGGGCAACTCTTAGGACAAAACGACTACCTTGACGTTACTGTCGAATTTTTCAAAATCTGTTTGTAGTTTGCTCATTAGTTAGAGAAAGTAGTTCAGTTAATTTTGCCTGAAAAAAAAGTAAAATCTTACAACGAACGCGAGATACGGCCGAAAGAATGTTTTAAGGGAACCTGTAACGAAGAGCGAAAGCTGTTATGATCGGGAAGGCCTTCAGTAGATTGTTGACGTTTGCCGCGGGCTTTCGTCTGGGATAGTGATTTGCATATTTTGTTTATACCGGGGTCTTGCCCTGCAGAACAAAAGGGAATTTCTTATTCTCTAGCTTTCTTTGCCCACTTTTCCTTATGATTTTCCCGATTAATTTTGGATTGCGTTCGATCCGTGTTCCTTGTTTCGCAAAATGACCTTTCCCGCGAATTTCAAAGGAGCTCCTTGTCACGAGACTTACCTAGGGGTTCAATTTTGCTTTTTGCTGGTCGGCTGCCGCATTTACAGATGCGAAAACAGTGAGTTTCTTTAGAGGCTAAAGCTCGAGGCCTGTGATTACTCGAGTTACCTCTACTTAAACGAATTAATGGGGTATGTCGATTTGTTGAATTTTCATGAAAACTGGCTGAATGTTCTTCAGATATTAACACACAAAATTCTTTGACGCTTTAACGGAATTCGAAATATATTTTCCGTAACGTCCTGGAACGTGGTAACAACCGAAATGTCATCTATTGCCCAACTTCAACTTCGAAAAAGCCTCACACACTTTGGTAGGTCGGTAATCCAGTAACACCGTCAGTTTTGTGTTTAAAGGCTCGCGGGCGCCTGTCAAAACGAAATCTGTGAACAATTTTTATTTTCATAATCTATACTTTAAAAGCTCTACAGTGATATACATTGTTCTATGGATTCTTGAAAAGTAACGTGTATAGGACGAATTTGGTCCATATTTTGTCGACAGCAACCTTAAGGAAGTACTACAAATGGAATTATTAACCCTTAAATATCTTTTATTAAAATAGAATTATGAGGATACAAAATGGTCGAAAGATTTTGGCGGTTATAATTCGAACTGACAGACGTCACCTCGTTTGTTATGAAGGTTGTCAATTTATATCATGTTCATTTTCGGAAAATGTCTAATAAACAAATAGATTCCAAGTTGCCGTGCGTCTGCTCAGTAATAGATCACTACTTACCTACCACTTACCACAGTTTGACGTCCTCTGTGATCTATTACTGAACAGACGCACGGCAACTTGGAATCTATTTGTTTTAAATAATAAAGAATTGAAAAAGTTTTAATGATGACGTCATCTATACGTCTGTCCTCCAATAGATCATAAGTGAGAACCAATCAGAATGCGCGCATAACTTAGCTTATTATATAAAATGAATTGACAAACATTACTGTAGTACGTTGCTTTACACCGGGAAAATCGGCATCATCATACCTGGAGACGAACAGAATTCTCCGTTAAACCCACACTCAGGTCTTCCCAATGGGGCAGTTACAGACCCTCCCGGCCAAATAGTCGTTGTGTCCGTGAACTCGAGTTCCTCCAAGTGCCGAAAGTAGTTCGCAACACGAACCATCTCGCCATTGTGAAAGTTCCTCATTTGGAGGGTGATCGTTCTGTCGCCATTTTCATCTACAAAAACCTGCCCAGAAACACCTGCCAGAGATGAAACATCATGCTTGATCAATTCGAGCGTTTTCGAGCGTATTTGCAGATTGATAAACGACTTGAACTAAAGTAAAATCGATCGTGCAAATCGAGCAAAGAGCCCGTTTGGCGCTTTCAGCGAAATGCTGAAGAACCACTGAAATTGAAGATAGCGGAGTTGCGAGAACAAGAAGGGGAGCTGTTTGATCTTCCTCCTCTCCTGGCTTATCGGTTCGTTTTCAGGGCTCAGTTTATCCGTTTTTACGGACTCACCGCATAACTCTAAAATCTGCTGGCCATGAAGTCATGATAGCTTAGAAGAAAGACAACAGATTCCGAACAAAGGTAATGCAATGCGTTTCGATGTCATGGACTCATGTTTACATGTTTCAATTGATGGGAGTGGCTCCAGTTGACATTTTGCACAGTGAGATGAAATACATGACTGAGACAGTTAATTGCTAACTCAGACTAATGGATGGTAGCTGAGGATCGACACAACGGAGACTGAGCGGCAATAGAAGAAGAGCATACGCACAGACAAATTCAGACCGTAAATAGAGGATGACAAAAACCAGACATGCATATTAGAACGAACACAATCAATCATGAAATAAAGGTTACATCGCATCATATTTATATACCCTGAAAACTTCTGTTTGTCATGTGCTTGATCAGTGCTTCCCCATCTGTAAGGTTTCCTCCAGCGCGTAAAAGGTCATGAGCTGCGTGGGCATACAATACCACTGCGTCATGAAGAAAACCCGCGTATATATCCACCTGAAGAACAAGAAATATTCAAAAACATGCAGCACAGGACGCAGTCTTTTGGAGCGTTAAACATTGGCTTATCTCTGTTATCTATTCTTTGAAATGAAAATTCATGTTTCTGAAACCTATTTAGTCCCTACTTACGCGGGTTCAAGAGTGTAAGGTACGTAGTTAAAGCCTTTCTGAAGCTTTGACGTAAAATTCTGGTCTTTTGTCTTTCCGAGTATCATAGTGGCTAATCAACCGTCGCACATATATGTATTGTGTAGTTTAGGATTGGAAAGCATTCTAACAGACTTATGCAGACTTTTGAAAACTGATTATTAAGGGACAAAGTTCCGCTGAGTTCCAATTTGATGGATCAGCTTCCATACCTTCGTAAGGAAGTGACTTGAAAATATTAAGAAGTTACGGGCAATAGAAAGGCTCAACAGCTCTTGTTTGATCCCTTAAATGTCAAAGCTAACTTTTAAAATGCCCGTCTAAAGAAAATAACAAGACAGTTTGATTATACGTAGTACATATGTTTCTCGAACTTCTAGGTGAGAACAGTGTTGTCTTTGCCTTTCTAACCCCATTGAGAAAACGCGTTCAGAAGGGCAAAACAAATATTTTTCTATCCACGATTAAATTAAATTCGGACCCAATTTACCTATTGATCCTTGGCTCCTACCTCATCATTCTGTGGCATGTGATATCCTAGGCCAGCGAACTCAGGCATTTTCTGTTTAACTTTTTTCTCAAACCCCTTATATTCCTCATTTGTTGGAACATAGTTGGCAATGTCCATTAGGCCTTCGAATGCTTTACAAGCTTCTTGGTCTCTTCCGTCGTTCCCCTTGCAATTTTCAGGTGTGATTTCAAAGGTGAAGTAGGCGTATGTTTTTGAAATCATTTCTAAGTCGTATAGATTTAACATGATCTGCCGGATGGAGCTTCCGTAACCAACAAGGATAAACACTAAGAAATGAAAAGAATAGCTTGAGTAAGAGCTTTGAAATGTAAAATAACTACCGCAAAAACTAACTGACGAAGACGAAAATGATACAAAACGTGCAAAGAAACAGGGTGGAAACATATATCAAAATTTTTTGCTTAGAGTGAGGTTTCAGAAGGGAAATTATTCTCTGCTGCGGCTCTGGTTTTGAAGAATACCGTAAGAAGAGGGGGAACCGTAAATCTAATGCAACTTTTGTCTTAAATGAAAACGTTTCTATTCAACAAAATGTTTCTTATTTAAATTTTAGTGGCATTTCTATTAAAATCGGCTATTTATTTAAGATATAGAATAAGTTTTGTTTCCAGGCGTTTAATTTTTGTTTTTAATTTTCCAGCTATAATTTCAATGACTTAGATTTAAACTCTCCGAAATGGTGTCACATGACGATTTTCATAATCACTGATATCAATTTCTCTACTATTCCTGGTGTTTTTGTTTTTATTTGGACAGCTCGAGCGGGTTGCAATTTCCTCAAATTAAAACAAAAAATATTTATTATATATTTAGCTTGATTTGTTAAACCTCTGAGTTGAAGAGATATTTCTGTCGGTAAATTATTTTGTGAGTTTTACCTTAAAATCTTCACTCTTTCGAGGAGAGTCGAACTGTAAGTTTGAATGGAAAAGGATATCTTGAAGCATTTTGGTCGATAGAGAATAAAAAAAATATTTATGTGTAAATCAGTCACACTGCTAAAGGATTCTTTGAGTCCTTAGAAGTGTGGCCAGAGACTGTCTTCATTCCAATTGTCATCCAATTTTCCCATATCCTGTTTGTTTCCTACATTGTCCTCCTTATAAATGACATTGTAAAAATTCTTTACAATTTTTTTATACTGCATGAGCAACAACTTACGGCACAATGAAATGACTCCGGATCAATATATTATTTCTGGACAATAAGACCAACAAGACACCGTTAGACGCATACCATGTTATTAAACCAACGTCTTGACGTCATGTTTCCTCAATATTACTTCACCCAATTCTGTTTCATTTAATTACAGCGGATGCTAATATTCATATGCTACATAATGTCTCACCTCAAAAATGTCTTTAACTCTAATGATTTCATGGTTCAAGGAATCTTTTCATAGATGTATTTACCTATCATAATCACCTACCCACCTCTTGTTCGATTGTCGTCAAAGTTTTTCAATAGTACCGACTTGGTAAATAGGCGAGTTCTCCGTCAATACAATGAAGATGTTCTCTTATGATATCATTAGTTGTTAACACTCCTAGAAGCCAATCGATATCTGTGAACCAATACTGTTTTATTTCTATTCTTAATCTTGTATTAATGATGTTTTAACATGTGAATCCCTAAAGAATGTCATTGTTTTCGTAATATGCACCCTTATTGTTCTTTTGTTATTGAGTGGCTTATTATGCAGATCGCACAAACTCACCAGAAAGAGAGAATAAATGAACAATAAATTGGTTTAACCCAGCAGCTACAGACTTCAGTTCGTTTAATACTTCATCTCCTGTAATTTACCTGCATTAATCAAGTTTGCAAAACGTATTCTAGAGATCCGCTTTTTAAATCTATTATGAACAGTTGGTCTGTATTTGAAAACAGTTTCGATCGTAATTTCGTTTTTCCGACGCCATTTGGGGTTTTAAGCTGAGTGGTATGACGCACTCTATTTACATTTCAATAAAACACTTAAGTACAACCCTAAAGAGAATTTGCTCATCATCTGCTGATATAGCAAGGTACTGAATTTTACCCTTATATTAACAATCTAAGAGAATAAATTCGGTAGAAATTAATGCCTGTCATCAAACTGCGGGAATGATTGGAGCGGAATGATTTTGTTAACGTGAGTAAAGGCGGGAAAAATTTTGGAATATTGAGGAATGATCTCTGACGCGTATCGTTGGAATAAATCAATTGTTTAAAAGATCTAAAATAATGGCGAATTGACCATTCGAAAAGATAATTGTATCTTTGAAGAAAAGTTCTCTTGAACGTTAATGAATTATTCTTACGAAATTTTAACGTTCTCGATCAGCACTACAAGACATACTATGAAAAAGATCAAAAGGAATTTTTCAGAAAAATATTTCTAGGTTGTGTATTCTGTTCGCAATAACAAAGCATTTTAAATTTCTCACTTATGGCAAAAAAGACAATTTTTCGTATCTGGAGGTTTCATATCCCTAAAGATAGCGGCTGCTCTAAAACAAAAATGACGAAACGAAACATTGGTATAATTGACATAACTTCCAACAACCAATGATATTGTTTGAATTTATTCCTCGTCTTGAAGGTGTTAAACTACTCATGGATTGAATTTACTCTTTCTTTGTCTGTTTTGTGGAATTTCGTGTGGTAAATACGTCTAGACTATATTATCTACTCACCATGTGCTTCTTCTCTTGCAGAACGCAACATGGTCTTGAATTGGACGTCAGTTGTAATACCAGGGCTAAATACGTGAAAATAAGCAACACTGAATTTTCCGCTTGTGCTACCATCAATTTCATCTCTCACAAACATAGCAACTTGTGACCATAAACTTTCGGTGGACGCTACAATCGCAACACGACTCCAGCTATATTTCTGCATGATCTTCAGAAAAAACTTTCCGGTTTGTGCGTAAGTTCCAACTGTTCGAACAAATGTTGGATATTTCTTTTTATCCGAAAGCGTAGATTCACCGCAAGCGAACGATATCATAGGCTTTTCCCAGTGCGCTGCTAAATAACCCCCCGGTATACATCCTATAGAACAGCCTGGCCCGATGAAGGCATGAATTGGTGGCTTCTTCGCTTTTAAATCGACCATGGATCTCAGCGTGGCACCGGTATCACAGGCACTATCTTGCCAGTAATATGTAAAGTTATATTTTGGTAGCAGGTTCTGATCGTTCCTTATCGTATCAAAGGCAACAAGCAATGCTGACGCCATTCTCGGTCCCACGGGCCAAGTTCCATTCCATGCTATCAGAGCTCCCAGCCTTATTTCTTCACTTGTTGTCTGACGATGGAGATGAACATTGAAGACGGCAATAATCAAGGCTATCAGGCGCTTTGTTTTCATATTCGCTGATGCTACTGGCGTGGTAAATAAAATTTATCAACGCTGTGTATTATTGTATTATTATTCTTCCATATTTCGAGCTAAACTCGCCAAGAGTCTGCCAATCCATTACAAAAGCTCTGAGGAAGGTGCTAGAAGCTTCTTGGTCCAAATGGCAACGCATATCGATTCCAGTTCCATTACTTTGTCTCAAATTTGCCTTGGAAATAAGTTTGTATTAGTCTAAGGTGTTGAGTGTCAGCGAACAATAAGAAGACAGACGTAAAATTTGTTTTAGCCGAAGGGAAATAAATGAAATCGAATGGAACGCGCATGGGCCAATTTATCCAATTTTCCGTCTCGATGGTGGTTGTAAATTAGTTTGAATTATTCAGAGTTGAAGGTAATTTAAATTCATGACCGAAAAATAGTTTGTTTGCTTTAATTCATATCGCTGATGTGATTTAGTCGGCTTGTTAAAATTATTTGTTAACTCTTGTTTATAAAATGAAGGTCTGTCGAAAATAATAAAATTGCTGCAACCAAGAGCTAGACTCTACATCAAACTGAGAGAGAAAAGTGTTGCAAAGCTTATCTCGGTGTCATTCGACAATCAATATAGTTATTCGAAAGCACCTGCGCGGGCGTCAATACAGAGGTGAAAAGTTGGTAAACTAATAATTTTCTTCTACGAAAGACGCTTTTTGAAATTTGACAAGATAACGGAGAAAGGCTTTATACATTTACAGTTTATTGTTTCAAGGCTTCTTATTTGATACAAGTGTGAAAGCAAAACGTTTATTGCAAGAAAAAAATAAATATTTATTGCATCTGTTCTAAACAATCTATGTTTTCTCAAAGCATAGATAATTACGAGATTTCTAAGTCTGATGTGAGCACAATTTTTTCTTGTTACAACTCTGAATGAAATCAGTCATAAGGAAGTTAATTTGAATTCCTTCACGAGTGTAATTGGTGTTTACTCGAAATATATGCAAAACGACTTCTTTTGTTGACACTTAACCGCAAAAAAATAGGGAAATTAAAAGCGAGAGATAAAAAAAAATACTGTCAATAAAGTGGACGTACTCGATGGACACAATGCAAATCGGGGGAAATAGATAAGGGACCCTTGATGATGTTTTGTAATGGTAATTTTTTTCTTATTCGAATCCATCTCATTTTTAATCAACACCATCCGCCTCTTAGCGCAGTGTCTCTAATTCCACATTTAAAACTTTTCACACCAAAATAGGAAAACTGCCACGGAGAGAAATTCGAGCACATTTTCTTGTCTACATCACTTTTTCATGATGACAATAAGCTCGATTTAGGGCGAATTTCTGATAAATTTATAAGCGAAATAGCAATTGTTGTAAGGTGTGAGTTTTTTTTCATCGTATTTAGTCGCTGAAGAGCCTAAATTTATTTTAAAGATCTATGAAAAGATTTAAGAATATAAAAATAAAATGATTCATGAGAGGTTTAAAAAATGCGGGATGACATTACAGAGAAGTAGGGACATTCCTGGGTCTTTTATGTCAAATCAGTGTCGTGATGAGGACCGTCGTTTATCAAGTTTCTTTTCTGCGCAGTTCATTTTTACCTAATTCCATGAATATATAACTTCATTACTGGATTGGAACTTTCTTGCTCTTTAACGTCTTCTGTATTAAACTGTCTGTGTTTCTTTTTTCGTTCAAATTTTATTTTTCTACCATAAGTAATTAAGCATGCATGAGGTTATATTGCTATAGCTGTCATCCTGTGACGCTTAAAACCAATTCTTCTCAGTTTGTGTAAGATACTAGTCAGGACACAAAGAATTGAACTTTCCTTTAAGAAACTTATCTCCAGTTTTTCCGGCATCGTCACCTACACATCAGAGCTCGAGTTGAAGATTACTCCCAAGCTGTAGATTTTGAATGTTAAGCTGTAAACTAAATGATTGCATTGAGGGTTACGCCAGGCATAATCAAAAATATTGTCTTATTTTGTTCAAGAAGTAATCTTACATCTTAAACAAAACAAGACAATGCGGAGTTTGCCAGCCGTTTTCAACAACCACGAGTCAAGATAGTTGAAAAAGGTTAGTCTAGTGAGCCGGCAAAACAAATCCAATCGTGGTTTTTGATTAGCTGCTCAGGGATTACCCGCTTTGAGTCCACAAAAAAAAAAAATATGTTTAAAGCTGTTTACTTACTTCGTAGTTTTTCTGTCACATGAAGTGAAGTTTTTACATCAACGGAAATTGCGGAGCACGTCCTTAGATCAATTGAAACGAAGGCCACGACTAATTTCGGGAATTCACTAAAAGTAATCTTTTTGGTCTCCCTCCCATATGATAAGTCCTGAATTGAGAAAGTTTTTTCGGTCATTATGGTTGGATATTGGCCATGGACCAACGCCGAAAATCGGCCGTAATGACCTTACCCTCAGTCAATGAAGTATATGAATTGTTGCTTTGTTTTTTTCAAACAAGGACGCCGAGACACTTATCATTTCAATTTTCTGGCGACTTCTGATGTACAGCCATTAGTTCTTCTTGCCGAGTATCGCAAGTTCTTTCTTTCATGTCTTTATTATCAAATATGAAACTTATCAATAAGGATCAGAGGTCTAGTTTAGGAAACGAAGATGAAGAGAAACAGTTGGGTTTATCAACAGTAAAGAAACGTAAGAAACGGATTAAAGAGATTACCATGGTCCTGAAAAAACTGAAATAAGTTTGATGATCTGGTTCCAAGGTAAATTGTCAGCAGTTATTACATCCACCCTTTGCACGGAAATAATGTAAAATAATGAATTGCAAATAACAAATTTGCGAGTAACTGATAATTTTTGTAAATCAATGATTCCTGGTTTTTAATTCCTTTTTTTCTTTTTTTTTTTTTTTTAAGGAGGTGAATATTTTATTGCGAACTACAGGATATTCAGAAATCCACAGGCGGTCCGCGCTTGTCTGCCAAATTAAGATAATCATCTTTCCGACATAAGTAAGAGATAACATAAATCCTTCATAACTTATGAAGAAAGAGAAGGTACTATTGCTAAATCTTAACATTGATGAGAAATGAGCATCATAATTAAATAACCAAACATTGACCTAAGTAGATCAAGACACGAATCCACGAGAGCAGTTGTCATTGGTCTATTTCATCTCTCTTTTTTGTATACCAAGACTGATTGACAGCCAGAGCAGGTGTTATTATTTATACGAAATTCCCCGGCAAGAACTTTTGCATTTAAGTAGGTTGTCATGATCGAATGAATTTAGGCAAAATTATGCAGTATCAGGGTTGGCTCCTAAAATAAAATTTCCTGAAAAGTTACAAGGTTTCATCTTTACTGATCCCTAAAAATTTCTACATGGAAGGCTTTCCCGAAACCAGAATTATTGGCAATAAAATTTATCAAAATTTGCCTCCGTTTAGCGCCTCGCGTTCAAATTCAGGTTGTTTTGACTTGAATTATGTCTTGAATATAATTATTCTAGCCTGATAGTAATAAGGAGCCTATGCGGTCCTTACACTGTTTACTATTTTCCTATTTTGAGCGCAACGGATGAAATTCACCTCCTTCAGTAATGCTGCCACCCTTCTATTGTATCTTCAAAGTCTTCCAAACACAAGTAATTAAGCTTTCCACCGAAGTGCCCTCTCTTTTTGCATAATTTTGAATTACCTGAAATGATATCAAAGCGAATTCACGGGAGAGGTATAATTCATTTTCATTCAGTTAACAACAGAAATCAAGGATAAACAGAACAACTTTATCAAGAATCATCCTGTAAACCAAACTGAATCGTGAACTCATCGAAATCGATTTATCATGAAATACACCTTTTCCTGAAAAGTTAGTAGACTTTAAAAAAAGGCTACTTAAAATAAACCTTTTTAAGCATAAGTTTATTTAGACGTGAGAATTTTATTAAAAAAAACTTGCGGGTCTGTCAGTTAAGAGTGGTCGTTTCAAAATTCCGAATTTTAATTTTTTTTCAAATTTCATTTTGAGTGATTTATTTTTTGCAATACTCACTAGTGGGATTGTGTGGAGACTTAAGCCCACGCGGCCTTTTCCTCTCCCACTTGAAAAACAAAATGTTAGACTAAGAAAGCGAAAGTGAAATTTGATTGTATTGCTACTAATTGGAAAATAGGTATTATGATTTTATTTTAAATGGCATCAAAAGGCAGCTATGGGTAAAGACTCAATTGCTTCTTTGAAACGTAGGCGCCAGTCTTTTTTTATGTCGAGTCGCGGAGTCACTTCCTTCAGACAGCTAGTAAAGATGATACATCCAGAGTAGGCGCAGCTCTTTATGTGAAACAATCTTCTTGCTTATGACAATACAAAGCAACATATATTCAGCTGCTCTCTAACACATTATAACTACAAAAAAATAAAAAGGTTTGAGGTTAGCTCTTTAACAGTTGCAACACATCCGATTGGCTAATTACCATTCGTCACAACAAAGCCCGTCGTTGAGCTCCGATAAAGAGTATCTCAGTAGCTTAGCTTGTCGTTGTGTTGTCGTCAAGTAAAAAATACATAACATGTCATTCCACATTTCCCTTCAGTGAAAGCAATCTAAATATCGCATAGTAAAGCAAGGATTGTTTCTTTGTGGTTTAGCGATATCCGTGTAGTAAGATTATCTACAAATTCCAGGTCGATACCAACGCTGCCGCTACAGAATTTTGCGACATATTTGAGTGATTTAAGATTGGCTAGGCATTTTGTTCGATCTTGAAGTAGTGTTAGAATGTTTTTAAAGGCTTCCAATCTGGAGTTGCAGCAGCTTGGTCAAGCTCGGTGTAATTCAATGGCCACCTGAAGGAATGACTGCCGTCATTGTTTTGGATTGGGTGACGCCTTAATTTATATCGCTCGTATGCTTTAGTTGTCTTGATTTTAGCTTTTGTTACTTTTGTTGTTGTATTTCCTACATTGAACTGCTGATCGACCAATAGGTAATTGCAAACATTTTCTATTCTCAAGACAATTCAACGCTTTAGGGATTGGCTACTCCGACCTCTTAGCTATTGGTCCAGAACCTCATGGCTTAAGGGTGGTCTTAATTATTTCTACAAAGAATTCTGCTTTGCCATACCGATAAATAATTAATTTGTTGGATGGTGAAATTTGTTTCTGCGATATTTGCTTGGGAGTTTCACCTCGTTTCGGAAGGGGAAAACAATTTTCTTTCCAGTGAATACATGACATGTCAGGTGATGCCCCAAACATCGAAAGCATTTAGGAGCGTTCGGTAAAATCTCTGGATTCAGAAGCAGGTCTCTGCTTTCCTCCCTTCCCCTCCTCAT